TCTAAACCACTGAGTGACATCAGCCAGGGCTACAGTTTTGTCTGTTAAATCTCTTTTAAATTTGCCTCCCCTCACCCAGTTTTAAATGCTATTGGTTTGTCCTTTGTTCTATAGAATTTCCCACATTCTATATTTGGCCAATTGTTTACTCATTGGGTGATTTTCCCTTGTTCCTTTTTCTCCATATTTACTATAAAATTGGTAGTTAGATCTAGAGGCTTAATTAGATTTGGGTTTAAGTTTTTTTCAGTAATCTATTCTATCCTATATAATAAAAGCCTAATATGCTAAGTGTCTGGTTGGCCGTTCAACCATTCGAAGCGTAATATGCTAATGATATGCTAAGGACACCAACTGCTCACTATGATGTGCACTGACCACCAGGAGGCAGATGCTCTGACTGGTAAGTTAACTTGCTGCTGGGGTCCAGCCAATCGGGATTGAGTGAGACGGGCCAGACACGCCCTGGAGCCCTCCTGTGGTCCCTCCCAGGCTGGCCAACCTCCTGTGTCCCTCCTCAGCCCTGATTGTGCACCGGTGGGGTTCCTCGGCCTGGCCTGCACCCTCTCGCAATCCAGGACCGCTCGGGGGATGCCGGAGTGCCGGTTTCAGCCCGATCCTGCAGGCTAGGCCAAGGTACCCCACTGGTGCACGAATTCGTGCACTGGGCCTCTAGTGTATATATAAAAGCCTAAGCAACTGAACAACTGTTTGACCGGTTACTATGATGTGCACTGACCACCAAGGGGCAGACGCTCAAAGCAGGAGCTTCCCCCTGGTGGTCAGTACACTCCCACAGCAGGAGCACTGCTCAGCTGACTTACGGGCGCCAGATGCTGGGCTAACCGCTGGTCAGCACGGCTACTGTGGCATGAGCCTCTCCCGCCTCCATGGCAACACGCTACAGAGCACAGCAGCAGGCTCAGTGGGGCCAGGGTGAGAGGGAGTAGCATGGTGCCTGACCCGGGCACCTCCCTGGCCACCTGCCACTTCAAGCACTACTACATCCCTCAGGGGATGTCGGACTACCAGTTATGGCCCAACCCCCGAGGATCGGGCTGAAACCGGCAGTCTAACATCCCCCTAGGGGTCCCAGATTGCGAGAAGGCACAGGCCAGGCTGAGGGACCTCACGGGTGCACAAATCCGTGCACCAGGCCTCAAGTACTTTATAATAGTTGTTACCATTTACTTTTTATAAAACAGAAAAGCAAGAAAAAGACGAAAGAAAAAATTCAGAAAAGCAAAAACCTATACAAGCTGCAAAAATAGAAATTTTCTTACTGTTCTGGCCCTGCTATATTTACACTTGTATTGTTACAGAGATTAGTTTGTGTGCTGCAGGGCTAATATTGCTTAAAGTAGAGGCCCGGTGCACGAGATTCATGCACTGGGGGGGGGGGTTTCCCTCAGCCTGGCCTGCACCCTCTCACAGTTCAGGACTCCTAGGGGGATGTCCGCCTAAGCCGGCAGTCAGACATCCTTCTCACAGTCTGGGGCTCTCGCAGTCTGGGACCCCTCACTCCTTACCGCCCACCTGCAGCGAAGGCTGGAGAGGCTCTCTCCACTCCGGTGCACGAGATTCATGCACTGGGGGGGGGGGTTTCCCTCAGCCTGGCCTGCACCCTCTCACAGTTCAGGACTCCTAGGGGGATGTCCGCCTAAGCCGGCAGTCAGACATCCTTCTCACAGTCTGGGGCTCTCGCGGTCTGGGACCCCTCGCTCCTTACCGCCCACCTGCAGCGAAGGCAGGAGAGGCTCTCTCCACTGCTGCTGCGCTTATCAGCCATGAGCCCGGCTTCTGGCTGAGCGGCACTCCCCCTGTAGGAGCGCACTGATCGCCATGGGGCAGCTCCTGCGTTGAGCGTCTTCCCCCTGGTGGTCAGTGTGCATCATAGCAACCAGTCATTCCGGCTTTTATTATATAGGATAACCCTTACCAAAGAGCACTGTTAGATTAAGGGTTAAACTGTGAAACCTCTAGGTTTTGTTATTTCTTTTATTTCATTTTTATTGATTTTAGAGAGAAAGAGGAAGGGAGGGAGAGAGAGAGAAACATTGATTTTGTTCCACTTATTCATGTACTCATTGGTTGACTCTTGTATGTGTCCTGACTGGGAATCGAACCTGCAGCCTTGGCATATGGGAACTACACTCTAGCCAGGTCAGGACAGGTTTTGTTACCGATCCTGTAGGTTGTTTTTAACAGTTCAAAAGTATGCTTCTGGATTTTGATAAACTAAGTGACATGGTCTACTTTTTGTATTCTGTTGAACAAAAACAATCCCATGAGGTTAGAGAAGTTTAACCTTGTAGGCCTCAGAAACTAGAATTGAAAACTACATACAGATAATCACAAGAGAAAAAAATATTACTTCTACCTGGAGGACCCAGACATTTTTGGGAGGAAGTAGCAGTGAAACTGGCCTGAGGGACTTGGAGTTATTTAGATGTTTGGGAGGAAATGGGGCGGGACCTTGGAAACGGAAGGATCCTTATGACCAAAGCAAAAAAAATTCCCAATGATTAGAGTTTCTACTAGTTAGGGTTTCTAAAGGGATTCTATGTGGTTGGTTCTTAAGGTGCAAGAGAAGCCTGGAAAGGTAGGTTGGGGTTGAATTACTCTGAAAGCTGGGCTTCATAGGTGATAGTGAACCATCAGAAGGGGGGGGGGGGGGGGGTGTGAGCACGCGCACCATTTTTCCCAAGAGCCTGTTATTTCACTTGATTCTTACAAAAGGTAGGCAAGGATCAGATCATTGGACTAATGAGGAAAATATAGATTAGCTAATTTTCCCTAGATACCCAGTTCATGATAGTAATGGAAATAGTAACAGCTAACATTTATCAAGCATTTCCTATATGTCAGGCCCTGTTCTAAGCACTTTATAGGCGTAAGGTCACTTATTCCTCCCAGCAGCCATAGGAACTACATACTGATGTTATCCCCAGTAACAGGTGAAGAAGTCTGAGACAGAGCAATTAGGTAACTTACACACAGCTTGTAAGAAGCAGGGCTAGAAACTGAACCAGGGCCATCTAGCTCCAGCCCATGTCTTTAGTTGTTGGTTTCCAAGGTAGCTGGGACTTTTGAACAAGCAAGTGACTTGTGGCTACCGTGCAGGGGTTGAATTGAAGGCAAGATTGAGGATAGAGAGGCCAGAGAGGAGGCTATTGTAATTGTCCAAATGTATGTTCATGAGAACTTGAGTTAGGCATAGATAGATCTGTTTGGGAGATAAAACTAGGGCCTGGTGGGGACAGCACATAGCATATTAGATTTGGCAGTTTGCTCATCTGTCTCCCGTGTTAAATTGTAAGCAATCTGAGGGCAGGGGCTGCCCATCTTGTTCACCAGTCTGTCCTCTATCCTAGCTGCTCAATAAATATTAGTTGAATGACTGAGAGGAAGGAATCTTGTGACTCCAAGTGTGGATCATTCATTAAGGCAGGGAAGATGGGCACTGGAGCAGGGGGGAATGTGGCAGAGATGCCGCTTTGGGCCCTGTTGAGCCTGGCAGGTGGTTGAGGGTAATCTCAGCAAACGCTGTAGACTTGCTGTGTTCCAGGCACTGTGCTGCCTTTCATATAGAGTTGTCTTTGTTGCCCAGAATCAGGAAATGAATAAATATGGGTAGCAAGGGGATTAAATAATTTAAGCCTCTGTACAAACCCCATGAAATAGGTACTAGCATCATCATCATTGCCTTTATTTAGGAGATTAGGAAGCAGAGCCATGGAAAAGGGACGTAACCAGCCCGAGGCCACACAGATAGCTTCAGAGTTGGGCTTAACCGGGCAGCCAGGCTCTAGGTCAGTGATGGCGAACCTTTTGAGCTCGGCGTGTCAGCATTTTGAAAAACCCTAACTTAACTCTGGTGCTGTGTCACATATAGAAATTTTTTGATATTTGCAACCATAGTAAAACAAAGATGTATATTTTTGATATTTATTTTATATATTTAAATGCTATTTAACAAAGAAAAATCAACCAAAAAAATGAGTTCGCGTGTCACCTCTGACACGCGTGTCATAGGTTCGCCATCACTGCTCTAGGTACTTAATCAGGACAGCTGCTTCAGTAGAGCATAGAGGTCTGTGTTCAGGTCTAGGCCAGACCAGAACCTTCCAGTCAGCAAGCACTCTGTGTAGCACCATAGAATCAAGTCATGATTCCTTATTCATCATAGTCTTTACCTAGAAAGGCCTGCGGGTCTTTATGGGTGGTCCATGGAGACTGGACTGACTCAGGCTGTCAGAAGTGCACTCAGATCCCGCTGTCGTCCCTCCCCCCCCAGCCCCCTCAAGTGGGCTGTGCTCAGAGCAGCCTGCAAGGGCTGTCCTTACGCCCTGCCCTATTCCTCTCTAGACCTCTCGGCTCTCCTTCAGCCACACTGGGTCCCACCCAGTCCCAGAGCAAAGGCGATTTGCAGGGAGGGCGGGGAGATGGTGAGTCTCAGAAAAGGAGGTGTCTTCTGAGGGATGGGTAAATGGGAGTTGAGTCATCACTATAACTCCATTTCTCTACTTTTTTCCTCCTTTCCCTCATGCCTCTCCATCGCACTCCTCTCCCCATCTTACCCAGCCGTGCTGACTGTCGTCACCCACACGCCTACCACTCGAGTCCGACTGGGACAGGATGCTCTGCTGGACTTGAGCTTTGCCTACATGCCCCCCACCCCAGAGGCCACTGCATCTCTGGCCCCAGGTCCCCCTCCCTTTGGGCTGGAGTGGCGACACCAGCACCAGGGTAAGGGGCACCTGCTCCTGGCTGCAACTCCTGGGCTAGATGGGCAAACGCCAGCTGCCCGAGATGGGGCAGTGGCATTTGCCGCTTGGGATGATAACGAGCCATGGGGTCCCTGGACTGGAAATGGAACTCTCAGGCTACCTGCAGTGCAGCCCCGCCAGGAGGGCGCCTATATGGCCACCGTACACCTGTCATACCTGCAAGGGCAGGTCACTCTGGAGCTTGCTGTGCAGAGTGAGTTGGGGTCCCCATGGGTTGGGTAGAGGGTGGGCACTGGGATTGGGGGGACACCCTGATAGAGGGAGGGACAGTGGAGAAGAGGATGCAGAGTGATTGGGGGAAATATATTGAGGTCATTGGAAGTCAGAAAGGCAATGGGTGGAGGGTCCCTGGGAATCTGAGGGGCTTTGGAGTGAAGGTTCCAAAATCTGAGGGAATAGGGATCCCTGAGAACCAGGGCTTTGACATGAGAAGTCAGGTGACACACCAAAGGGGAAACAGGGGGATCACCATCCTGGGAGAAGTGCCCCCCCCCTAGATTTAGGGAAGCCAGAGAGCAAACAGGGTTTCTGAGGGAGGACAGTGGAGATTGATTCACTCCATGCTCTCTTCCTACTCTCATCCCAGAGCCCCCCAAAGTGTCCCTGACGCCAGCACCTCTTGTATGGGCTGCCCCTGGGGAGGCACCCCCAGAATTGCTCTGCCTTGTTTCCCACTTCTACCCCGCTGCGGGCCTGGAGGTGGAGTGGGAACTCCGAGGCCCAAACGGCAGCATTCAGGAGGCCAAGGGGCACCAGTGGCTCTCAGCCCTGCACCACCACTCGGATGGCTCCGTCAGCCTCTCGGGGCTCCTGCAGCCGGCCCCCGTCACCTCCGCTCAGCATGGGGCCCGCTATGCCTGCCGTGTCCACCACCCCAGCCTGCCCCCCTTGGGGCGCAGCGCTGAAGTCACTTTGGAGGTGGCAGGTAAGAGCCAAGGGGATTGAGAGGGGTGGGGTGCTGGGAAGATGCTTGGAGCTCACTCTCGTCCCTCCTGCCAGGTCGCTCTGGACCCTCCCTGGAGGATGGCATCGGCCTCTTCCTGTCCGCCTTCCTACTCCTAGGCCTCCTCAAGGTGCTGTGCTGGGCAGGTGAGTGTGAGCCGCCCGGAAAGTCATTCCCTGCTTACTCCCAGAAGCCGCACACCTATCCTTACCTCTCCGTCATCCCATCCCTTCTCCATCTCTCCACAGCTGTCTACCTGTCTACTTCCAAGAAGTCAAAGGAGAAGGTAAAAGCGCTCCACCTTTGCCTAATTTTTCCCTTCTCATTCCATTCCCTTCCCCCAACACCTCACCCACGGAGGGAGGCTGCTGGCATGGTGGGCAGAACCTGGCCTTGGAATTCACACAGACCTGGGTGAAATCCTGCCATCTTGAACATGCTACTTAACCAGCATCTCAGTTTCCTTGGGTGTAGGGATAAAAAAAATAATTTAGTCAATGCTGTCCAATAGAAATACAATGCAAGCCATATGTAAACTTAAATAATCTAGTAGTCATATTAAAAGGTGTTGACATGCCCTAACCGGTTTGGCTCAGTGGATAGAACATCGGCCTGTGGACTGAAGGGTCCCAGGTTCAATTCCGGTCAAGGGCATGTACCTTGGTTGCGGGCACATCCCCAGTGGGGAGTGTGCAGGAGGCAGCTGATCGATGATTCTCTCTCATCAATGTTTCTAACTCTCTTTCCCTCTCCCTCTCCCTTCCTCTCTGTAAAAAATCAATAAAATATATTTTTAAAAAATCTTAAAAAAAAAAGTGTTGACATAAAAAATGTTCAAACCTGTAGAGAATTTTTTTTAAATCTTAAAACTAATTTCTTAAAAATTTGGATGTAGAGAGAGATGAAGGGAAGAGAAACATCGATTTGTTGTTCTACTTATTTAAGCATTCATTGGTTGATTCTTGTATGTGTCTTGACCAGAAATTGAGCCGGCAACTTTGGCATATCAGGATGATGCTCTGACCAACTGAGCTACCCAACCAGGGCTGTAGAGTTAATTTGAACCAAACTGACAATTGTCCTGAAGCAAGGTCTCAAATGCTCCTCAAAATGACAGTGCAGCAGCTTTTATGCATTTGGAATTAAGGAGGGAACGTAAGGAAGATTCCATGAAGGTAGGGGAAAGCAGGGTGGGATCGGATTACAGGATAGTGAAGGGAGCTTATGTGCTTTCTAGACGGCGGTTACTATTTCAAAGGTGTGTTGACCTAGATGCACAAAAGCAAGGACAGGGCTGGCTCAAGGCAAAGATCAGCCATTTACTGAAGAAGTTATATGCCTGCGGTGTGACTACCCACCATGACCTGCCCAGTTAGGAATTCATGATCAGATCACCCTGTGAGGCTACTTTCCATATTTTTCATCCAGAAAGATAAAAAGAAACAGGTAAAATTAATAATACACTTTATTCCATCTGGTATATCCAAAGTATTATTACAACATGTAATCAGTTTAAGAAATTCTAGTGTTTTTTACTGTCCTAAGTTTTCAAAAACAGGTGTTTATTTTAAACTGTCAGCAAATCTCAATGCTGGCTTGCCATGTTTCAAATGCTCAATAGACACATGGTGGTGGTGGCTACTGCGGTGGACAGCGGACCTTCAGGGGCTGTTGGGAGGATCAGAGGAGAGCGTGCATCTCCTCTGGAAGATGTGGGCGCAAGCAGTTGGCACAGTGTCTGCCAGGCAGGAGACGGAATTTAGCTCCATTTTCCTCCCCCCTCTGCCATGATGGTTCCTTTATCTCTGGGTGAGACATGCATGAGCACCTCACCTGGATTTCTAAAACCCCGAATTCCTCACCTCATTTTTACTTCTTTTCCAGAAATCACAGTGAGGGCACTCATCATCTGGGGAAGCCACCATCACCTGTCACCTGCTCCTGCTTTCAATCTCTCCACTGAGTGGCTGGAAAGTTGTTGTTTTTTTGGTGTGTTTTTTTCACAGACACAGATCCATGGCATTCACCTTCTTAGAGCGCTAGGGCAGTGGTTTCTCACAATTTTTAGTCTCAGGACCTCTTAAAAATTATCAAGGACTCTAAAGAGCTTTTGCTTATGTGGGTTACAAACTACAGACATTTATCATAATAGAACTTAGAACAGGCAAGTTTAGCCCGGCTGGTGTGGCTCAGTGGTTGAGCTTCAACCTATGAACCTGGAGGTCATGGTTCCATTCCTGGTCGGAGCACATGCCCCGGTTGTGGGCTCGATCCCCAGTGTGGGGCGTGCAGGAGGCAGCCGATCAATGACTCTCTCATCATTTATGTTTATCTCTTTCTCCTTCTCTGAAATGAAAAAAATTAAATTTTTAAAAACTGAGGAAAGTTTAAAACAGAAGAATACAGTGCTTGCTTCGGCAGCACATATACTAAAATTGGAACGATACAGAGAAGATTGGCATGGCCCCTGAGCAAGGATGACAAGCAAATTCATGAAGTGTTCCATATTTAAAAAAACAACACACCAAACCCAGAATAATACACAAGCATTAGGTTTAAAGGCGATGTAAAATACACATCATGTAGTTTTTGGGAAACTCCACAGTACTTTTTATTTTCTTAATCTTCACCAGAGAATATTTTTTCCCATTGATTTTGAGAGTAGAAGGGAGGGATAGAGACAGAGAAACATCATTGGTTGACTCCTGCACCGACCCCCACCCCCACCTACCAGAGGTACTGGGCCCTGACCCGTATGGAACCTGCGGCCCTTCAGTCCTCAGGCCAATGTTCTAACCACTGAGCAGCCGGCCAGGGCTCCACAGTACAATTTTGAGAGAAAGAGTTAGAAAAGGCAAATAACATCGTAGCATTATGATGAAAGTAGTTTTACCTTCGTTTGCCCTGTGTAGCCTCGGGGACCTCTGGGACAGGCCCGCGCCTGAGGACCTGTGCTTGGACTGTCCTGTCCTATCCACCCCCTCGGTCCCGGGGCTCTGCTCCCTCTGCCGGGTCCACCCCGCTTTCCCTGCGAACCCGGGCCTGCTCCTCCCCGGAGACCGCCTTCCCCAGATGCCATCTCCACGGCCGTGGGTCAGCCGTCCGTGGTCTGTCCGCGCCCGGGCTCCGCTCCTGCCCGCTGCTGTGTCCCCTGCGCCCTGCGCCCACTGGAGGGCGCTCGGCACATGAGTGTTCTTTTCGCCCTAAATATTGGGAAGCTCGCCGGGCCGAACCCCTGGCCGCAGGCGGCGGCGGCTGGGCTTGGGTCTGATTGGGGGGAATAAAGCTGTTCCCTCACCACCTGTGTCCGGTCCAGTGACTGCGGCCTCCCCACGGCGCCCAGCCCCCTGC